CACATATCCCACTATACATACATACAGACACCACTGTACACACATAACAACGCATATACATACCTTCCGATACATATCGACAACGTACAAACGAAGCATACACAGTCCACTGCACATATATATACCACCGTACATACGCGACACTGTACATATGTACTCTTCGGCACACTCATACAGCATCAGGCAAAACACTGCTAGCAGCATACCAACCACTTCGTTCGCCAGCTACCATCGGGACAGCGTACACGACGAATTCTCAAGCGAAATACACATCAACGGGTATAAAAAGCTGAACAAGTGCGCAGTTGAGTCAGTCTCGCTAGGTAAGCGTTGGGCTTGACTGGTCGGTTGGCGCCTAGTGGTGTGTCCTCGGACGCACTAAATCGTCTCTGACTAGTCAACCCAAACATTGCTTGACCAGCCGGTTGGCGCCTAGTGGTGTGCCTTCGGACGCACTAAATCGTCTCCGGCTGGTTAATCCAAGCACGGCTCGACCAATCGGTTGGCGCCTAGTGGTGTGTTTTCGGACGCACTAAATCGTCTCCGGTTGGCCGAGCCACGGCTACCGCCGCCCCCCATTCCAGCCCCTACTCATGTAGTGTGCAATTATGGGAGCGGCGGTGCCTGACGAGTCTCGCTAGTCTTGCTAGGTCGCTCAGCTCCATCGGTTGCCGAGTCGCCGAGTAGTAATACGAGCCACCCGTTGCCATTAGAGGACATCCGTTGCCGAAGATCACCCGTCGGGCCGCCGCCGCTCACCGTTGCCGAGAATTACTCGCCGTACCGCCGCCGCTGGTCACCGATTGCTCAACCGTTGCTCCGCTACTGCTAGCGCTCCCACCGTTGCTCCGCTGTTGCCGAGAGTAACTATATTCAGCATAAGTAGCTACGTTTTTCCACTCTGCAACATTTTTAGATGGTGGGCCAGCCGAATTCAGTTCAGCTTCAGCTTTGCGCCAAAATCTGTTTAAGTCCTCCTTGCTGCCCCTATAAAACCCACGCGCAATGCCAGGATTACCTTGCATAAGGTTAATGAGTATCTCTAATTGGTTCTTGTTTGTAGTTTTTGACCTAAAAAATTGTTTAACATTGTTTTCTATTAAAAAGTTCGCAAATACTTACATTTTTGGGTACTGCTCCCTCACACTTTTCTGGCGGAAAATTTATTTAAAACTGTCATCACATTCTCCCTTTGATTTGCATTCGTGATAGCTACTTTTTTCCCGAAATACATTTTCCCTTTTTCGAAGTTCGTTTAGAATAGGAGGAAAGGGAGAAGAAAAAAAATCATCTGGGAAATTTTTATTCAAGATAGGAGGAAAGGAGAAAGATAGAAAATCCCCGGGGAGTTCCTATTCAGAATCGGGCTGCATATGTATTTACGTAATTAGCGTTCGTCGTACATTTAATGTAAACCACAAATTTTAATATACAAAAACGAAAAATATGTTAAAATTTATTCGTAATGGCAGTATGTATATTAATAGATACATATTTACAGAGCAAAGTCGATTTACAAAAAAAAAATATATTTAAAACCAAAATACAAACGTAGCCATCGTCAATTTTCAAACCTAATGTTGATGTTGTTTTCAATGGTTTGCTTAACACTATAAAAATTTGTCATCTTGACTGCAGTCAATTACTTTTCTAGAGGTTCCCAAATCTTTAGGTCAGATCAATTTGCACGTGTTCAAGTAAAAATTTAATACAATGTAAATTGTTAACGTACATAGTTTATAATACAAACAGAAATACATACGTATGTACACATCACATTTAATGAATTACAAACAATGCATTTTCTATGAAGAGTCATCAGCAGCATCAGCAGCCTTCCAAGCAGTTAAGCGCAAACGAAATCTTAAAATAAACAAAAATTAATATTACAAATATTTGCTTGGTGTTCTCTGGCCATCGCTGTTGTTACTTTTGTTTGGCATGTGTAGAAACGAGGTACTGCTGTTGCTTATGTTACTGATGCTATCAGCAGAAGCGTATGTTTCTACTTTATCTAACGACTCTTGTTGTTGACGGTGTGGTGTGGTAAAGTTGCTTGGAGATGGTTCTCTTGTAGTATATTGGCTATCAAGCACCAGAAAATTTCCATCACGCATTCCATATGCCACCGATTGTCGTGGATCAATTAAAATACCTTCATCACAGCTTTTTGGTACTCCAGCAACTGGTGTGTCTATGGCGGAGTTATGTGGAGCAGTTGCATGACTAAAATCAATTTGGACTCTTTTAGAACTGGCTTGTTTGTTGCGAGCGCTATTGGCATCAAATGTATGCAAATTAGATTTCCAAACGAGCAACTGTTGAATACAGGAAAAAAATTATATAATATATTATATAATTTTTTACACACATAGCAGAAATTACCTGTCGATCCTCGCTCGCGGAAGCAAAATGTCTACATGTGGAGAGAAAGCTACGGCGCAAACTTAGTATGGCCAGTTAGTGTATAATTTTCCCGTCCATTTTGACCTCGTTCCGCTAAAGTGCACTACTGCCGTGTATAAATTGGTGGACCTTCTAAAAAATGAAGCAATCTTATTGTATCGTCATCGCCGGCAGTCACCAAGAAATTTCCACTTGGGTGAAATGCAACATCATTCTCCGGCGACGAATGCACTGTATTAGCTCGCCTTCGGCTATGTCAAATATCTTAACGCGGTTACATTAATGCTAAAGCCACAGTATACCCAAGGCACGATTGAGAGAAATAGAGATTGCGCCAATCGCGGTACCGCTAATCCGCTCTTTGTGATTTTGACAGAATCAGCTGTGTGCGTGACGTCATCTTGGTGCAATTGTTGATTGTGTGCATACGAAAAACCCAAATAACAATTTTAATATTTGTGTGTTAATATTTCTGCGTGGTTTTAAACAATTATTGAGATATTACAAAGCAAAACGAAGTGTGCAGTGACAAAGTGTAATAGTGAAAACAAAAGGAATGCGTGCGATATAAGCTTCTTTTCGTTTCCTACGGACGCAAACCTGGCGAAAAAGTGGAAGCAGTTCTGCCGGCGAGGAGATGCATTAAACACCAAACCGAGCTTTGTGTTTTGTGTGTGAGCTATGAGCTTCTACATGGAACCATTTTGGCCTTTCCTTGGTGAATTGTAGTAGGTACATTTCCATAGTGAATGTAGACAGTTGCTGGTTGAGTTTTCTGGCAATGGCATACATACAAAAGCAGTTTCTACAGTAAATAGATACATGAACTTCACTACCTACTTATTTTTGTTAGTACCTGATTCTTTTTAGTGCTGGTATGAGGTAATGCACCAGTGGACAAGGTCGCCAGGCGCTAATTCAAGCGGCATCTTACCACGCTGTTATGTACCTAATACAAAACAGTGCCCAAATTATTATACACTTAAAAGTTCAGCTTAAATTATGTTTTACTTACATGGAATATTTGTTTCCAAAGAAGCCACACTCATGCATCCCCTCGGAAATGGTACAAAAGTCACCAAATAAAAGCTATGGAGTCTACAGCTGTGGAGTTTATGGTGGTTGGCTACCGTCCACAAATATAAATATGCACTCTGCATGGCTTTTTACAATGGCGAGTCCAAAAATTCACTTTGCTGCACACCTTCCTTTTGGTCTACGTGAAATTACAAACACTGTTAATACATCCATTTTTTCATATGCTAAAAATCGTACTTACCTAAAGGGCTACATGTCCAAAATTATTGCTGCGTGTTCCCAATTAATAAATCTTTGCATATTTATTGATTCCTGCAAAATTGGGCCATGTAATATTAAAATTAACACATTTTTCTGCATTGTTTACATATTTTTATATGCGTTTTGGCATTTCTCTCTCGCAATTGCAAAAAGATGACGTCACGCAAAAATTACGCTCAAAAATCCTCTCTCATTGGCGCAATCTTGTATTCTATCATTCTTGTACCCAAGGCATATTCAACAAGGTGGAAGTGACAATTCAGTCGAGCTCTCTCATACCTGACTGTAATGTCAAAAAATGTAAACAAAGAAATTAACCCTTTGTTATGCATTTACCATATTTGATAGAACTCAACATCTTTGAAATGAAAGCTTTTGTAAATATGAAAATATTTAAAATCTCATTAGAATCAGCTTCATTTTATTTATTGAATTATCGGAAATGCATACTTACACAAAATTACACACTAAATGAAACACAATCATTTATAAATGTTTTTGAGCATTTATTTTTTTATTCAAATACTTAATTCTAAGGTATATTAGACATTAAAAAAAGTTTGATTCTTCTAAATTTTCATCAGAACTTAACTTCAATAATTTAGCTATTAAATTTTTGCTATTCGTAATTTCCTTTCCATTAAATTTATTAAAAATTACTTTCAGTTTCTTTATGTCAACACGGAATACTAGTTTAGGTTTTGTCAGACCACTATTTGAAATTTGGCTTATCCATGTATGTATATGAAAGGGAGATTTTCTTTTCATATTCGGTATGATAAATCCTGCACCTGGGACCAAACGCGTCCACTTAGAAATACTCGGCTGCGATAGGCAACAAATAAAGTCACGACCACACGTGAAGAGTCTCCTAATGAAACATCGCAGCAATTTGCCCACCGTTGTCGCTTCACTTGACAATTCGAAGGTTTAAAATAACGCACAAGTTTGTTGTCCAGGCTCTTGACAAACACAACGCACCGCTCGCAATTCCTTTTCATTTTATTATGTATTTAAAACCAGTCGCACAGCTCACAATTGAAAATTTATATAAAAAAAAAATTTTATAGTATAGGGTTAAGAGTTGACATTTCAGTCGCAGTTCAAAAGAGAGAAATGTCGAAATCACTTCTACCTTGTTATGCCTTGAGTATACCCACGGTGCAGCAAACAAAGGTGGCGCCGTCAGTGGTACCGCTACTTTGGTTTTGCCGATTTTGACAGTTGTGGTAACTTGTAAATAAAGCTTTGTTTACAAATCCGCAAAAGATAAATTTGAATTATAAGTTAAAAATCAGTTTAAATTGTGTTAATTTGCAATTTTTGAGCGATTTTTGAGTAGAAGACTGCGTAAAAACTAATACAATGAAGTGCTGTGTGTTAGAGTGCG